GCGGAATGACCTCATAACCAGATCAAAACGGGACCTCGACCTCCTTGGGGGCTGCGAACTGCGAAGCTGCCGCAACTTCCGTGATTTCTTGGGAGGCCCAGCGGAGTGACATCATACCCAGATCAGAACGCGACCTCCCCTTCCCTGGTGGGCTGCGAACTGCGAAACTGTCGCCATCTTGGTAGGCTCCTGAGAGGCCCAATGGAAATACGCCGTACCCAGATCAGAACGGAATCTCGACCTCGTGAGAAGAACGCCATACCCAAATCAGAACTGGACCTCGCCCTCCCGTGGAGCTGTGAACTGCGACGCTGTCCCCATCGTCGTGGGCTTCTGGGAGACCCAGCGGAAGGACACCATACCCAGATCAGAACGCGACCTCGGTCTCCCTTGGGGCTGCGAACGGCGAAACTGTCGCCACTTTTGTTGGCGTGTGGGAGGCTCAACGGAGTGACGTCATACCCAGATCCGAACGGGACCTCGACCTTCTTGGGAACTGCGAACTGCCCAGCTGTCGCCAATGTTGAGGGCCCCTGAGAGGCCAGCGGGATGGCGCCATACTCAAATCAAAACGGTACCTCGCCCTTCCTGGGGGCTGCGAAACTGTCGCCACGTTCGTGGGCGTGTGGCAGGCCCAGCGGAGTGACGTCTTATGCAGGTCAGATTCGGCCCGCGCCCTCCCTGGGGCTGCGAACTCTCAAAGCGTCGCCACGTTCGTGGGCCCACCAAAACCCCGGCGGAGCGGCGCCACATCCGGATCAGAACGAGACCTCCACCCTCTGGGGGGGGGCCGCGAACTGCCCGAGCCGTCGCCACATTCGTGGGCTCCTGGGGGGCCCAGCGGCAGGACACCGTGTCCGGATCAGAACGGGACCTCGACCTCCCTTGGGGGGGGCTGCGAGCACTCGCGGGCTCCTGGGAGGCCCAGCGGAAGGACGCTACATCCACATCCGAACGGGAACTCGACCTCCCAGGCGGGCTGCGAGCCCTCGTGGGCTCCCGGGAGGCCCAGCGGGGGGGTGTCATGCCCAGATCCGAACGGGGCCGCGCCCCCCCCCCGTGGGGGGCTACGGACCGCGAAGGCGTCGCCGCCGCTGCTGGCTCCTGGGAGGCCAGCGGGATGGTGCCACTCAGCACACAGGAAGATGGCAACCTCGGCTCGCAGTTCCCCGGTGATCAGGAAGATCGGCCTCGCCGCCCCTCTCCCCCGAGCAGCTCTGTCCTGGCCCCGGGTAATCAACACTCAGGGGTCAAGCGGGGGGAGGTATGCGTGATTATCGCGGGCGCTCGGAGATCCAGATCAGAACGGAGCCTCGCTCTTCCTGGGGACTACGAAGTGCGAAAGTGTTGCCACGTTCGTGGGCTGCTGGGAGGGGGTGCAGCATAATGCGGGCCAGCGAGGACTCACATTAGATCTCGCCATCTCTGGGGGGGGGCTGTGAACTGCGAAACTGCCGCCACTGTCGTGGGCTGCTCGGGGCTGCAGCATAGTGCGGGCCTGCGCGGACCTTGCTGAGACCTCGCCATCCCATGGGGGCTGCGAACTGCTGAACTGTCGCAAATGTCGTTAGCTGCTGGGGTGTTCAACATGATGAGGGCCCACGCAGACCCGAGGTAGACCTCGTCGTCGCTGGGGGCTGCGAACTGCAAAACGGCCGCCACGTTCGCGGGCTCTTCGGTCCAGCGCAGGGCGGGGCTACGCGGACCTGAACTAAACCTCGCCATCCCCTGGGGCCTGCAAACTGCGAAACTACAGCCACGTTCGTGGATTATCGGCAGGTCCAGCGCAGCGAGGCTACGCAGACCTGAATTAGACCTCGCCGTCGCTTGGGGCTGCGAACTGCGAATGTTGCCACGTTCGTGAATTATTGGGGAGTCCAGCGCAGTGCGGGGCTACGCAGACCTGAATTAGACCATACCGTCCCTGGGGGGCTGCGAGTTGCGAAACTGGTGCCACGTCACAGATCTAAATTAGACGTAGCTGTCGCTGGGGGCTGCGAACTGCGAAACTGCCACATGGTCGTGTGCTCCTGGGAGGTCCAGACCGTAGTGCGGGGCTACACGGACCAGAATTAGACTTCGCCACACCAGGGGGCTGCGAACTGAGAGGCTATCGCCAACTTCGTGCACTCCTGCGGGGTCCAGCGTAGTGCGGGCCTGCGCAGATTCAAATTAGACCTCTACGCCCCGCAGGGGCTGCGAACTGCGAAACCGACGCCACGTTCGTGGGTGACGTTCGACGCAGACCGCGACCCAGGTTAGGCCTGGCCGTCCCCTGAACTCTTCAGTGCGCTCGCTTGGCTGCGAGCCTTGTTCCTTATGAAATTCGTTCTTTCGTTCGGATGTCCGCTGGCAAAGTCGTGCGCGTGCTAGGTGGAAGGCAAGTTAGTTGTCATAACGCCGTAGGCTCATGACGACCCTGAGGGTTGTGCCAAATAGCCGTCAGGGATCAGTATCAACACGAATATACCTCGAATGGAAAGCATAAGCAGCAATTGGACCAGAGCCTTACTCCGTTCCTTTCCCGCTTGCTCCCAATTCCACCAGTTCCCTATATGCCGCCACGCCCCTGCATCTCTTCTGCTCGTCTGCACGTTTCCCATGTGTTCCTGCACACGAATGTGTCGTGCAAAGCGAGAGCCTCCACGTTAGCTGTCACCGCAAATTGCACACATTGCCACGCTATCAGATGTAACAGATTGGCCCATTGTTCTGGCCGCTTGCTGAAGACTGGTTGGGTACGTCGAAGGGTAGGCTTGGCAAGGACGTCCGCCACACCAATATTGGATCAAATGAGGCCCAACTGGACCGCGAGCATGTGGTCGAAAAGGCATCAAATCGAGAATCGAGCTTACTGGGGCAGCAGACTCCACCATTCCACGGTCGGCTCCTCAGAGCTCCAGCTAGATGCGCACTCCTCGCCCTCCGCGTCCGCTCCTGCTCCTCCTCCTCCTCCTCCTCCTGCTCTTACCCCTCCTCCTCCCTCCGCCTCCTCCTCCTCCTCCTCCTCCTCCTCCTCCTCCTCCACTTCCTCCTCCTCCTCCTCCTCCTCCTCCTCCTCCTCCTCCGCCTCCTCCTCCTCCTCCACTTCTTCCTCCTCCTCCTCCCTCCTCCTCCTCCTCCTCCTCCTCCACTTCCTCCTCCTCCACTTCCTCCTCCTCCTCCTCCTCTCCTCCTCCTCCTCCCCTCATCATCAGCAGCAGCAGCAGCAGCAGCAGCATCCTCCTCCTCCTCCTCCTCCTCCTCATCATCATCATCCTCATCCTCATCCTCATCCTCATCCTCATCATCATCATCATCATCATCATCATCATCATCATCATCATCATCATCATCATCATCATCATCATCATCATCATCATCATCAGCAGCAGCATCATCATCATCCATCATCATCATGCATCATCATCATCATCAGCATCAGCATCATCATCAGCATCAGCATCATCATCATCATCATCATCATCATCATCATCATCATCATCATCATCATCATCATCATCATCATCATCATCATCATCATCATCATCATCATCATCATCATCATCATCATCATCATCATCCTTATCCTCCTCAACCTCCTCCTCCTCCTCCTCCTCCTCCTCTGTCTCTCTATCTCTATCTCTCTCCTTCTCTCTCCTCCTCCTCCGTAGCCATTTAGGCTCAAGCCGTCCACCAGTGGGCGACCCCCCTGCTGCTCAAGCCAGCTCGGTCGGCATGCCCTCGCGGTGCGGCGGTGGGCGGGGCGCTGAGGCAGAGATGGCGGCGGCGGGGCGGCCCGAAAGCATGGCGGCCTACGGCTCAGCGTCAAGCAGACATCGATTCCGTCGGCCCGACGGGGCGCGCCGTGCCGCGGCGGCGGCGGCAAGGGGCGGCGGAGGCTGCTGTGCGCTCTGCCGACGCTGGCGGCTGCCTCGGCGAATGGCAAGGTCGAGAGCTCGCCTCTCGGCCTGCGCTTCGGCGGCCGGCCCGCGGCCTGCGCATCCCCGGGAGCACGAGGCGGCGCCGCAACGCCGCCTGGCACTGCGAGGGGGTGCCGCTTGGACGTTTCGCCTCGGCTGCTGGCCGGCGGCGTCGCCTGGGCCAGGCTGGCGGTGGGCGGCCGAGCAGCCAGGCAGCAGTGCTTCGGCGTATCCGCCCTCAGGGGCACGATGCACATGCGGCAGCTTCGTCTTCAGCTCCGCGGGGCTCGTGGGCGGCGACTTCTCGCACGCGGTGGGGGGGGCGACCGCAGCAGCGTTCCTGACGTTTGTCGGGGAGATCCTCGTGCTGTTCGTGGTGATCTTGGCGGACTTCACGGTGCTGGTGGCGCTCCTGCGACGGCCCATCGTTTTCCTCTGGTCGGGCATCCTGCGCGTGAGGTGGTACAGCATGTGCCTCTGGTCGAGGCGTCCGGGGTTTGCGAGGCGTCGGACGTGCAGAGCTGATCGTGGGGGGCCCCGTCTCGGCGGAGCTCGTTCCTGGAGGACGAGGCGGTGGTGCACTGGAGACGCCCAGCACGGCTCTCGGAAGCGACTCCGACTTCGACCCCTGCGCCCGCTGGGTCAGCAGCCAGTGTCTTCCCGGTGGGCCTGGAGGAGCGACCAGGAGGAGGCTCTTTCCTCCGGCGGACGGCGCAGCTCGAGTGCGAGGTGGCTGCGCGGCCTTCTCCTTCGGCTCTCCTCGGCGGCGGCGACGCGGAGTCTGACGTCGCGGACGGCTCCTTCCAGCCCGTGTGCGCTCGGAGCCTGCGCGGTCCGCGCAGCGCCTCCGGCGCGCTCGCATCGTCGAGAGGGCCTCACGACCGTCGGGAAGCACAGGAGGCCTTCATCGGTGAGCGGCCGTGGACGCTCATCGGCTACCTGCTGGTGGAGGTCATCTGAGATGTTTCCGCCCTCTGGCTAATTGGTACGCTTGCGGCTGGTCCTAGTCAGGCCAAAAAAACAGGAGCTCTCTTCCTCCTCCTCCCTCCCTACTCCTCCGATTCCTTCCTCTCCCCTAGGAAGAAGGGAGTGAGGGAGGGAGGGACTGAGGGAGGGAGGGAGGAAGAAGAGAGAGAGAGAGAGCAGCTGACGATGAGGAGAAGGAGAACCAGGAGGACTTCCCAGCTCCTCAGCACCGCCTGACTGAGCACAGTCAACCCGCAGATTAAGGACGTCCGATAAGGGATGCAAGGGCCCTGGAGGGCCATGCCGACATTCTTCGAGCGGGGCGCGGCCAGCGACGGTGGCCCAGGATGGCCCGAAGGGGCGGGATGCAAGGGTAACCTTGGAAAGTCGCTCATCCCTGCTGTGCGGGTTGACTGCATCCTCTCCCTTACCTGCCCTCTTCGCCCATCCTCGGGTGCTGCTAGAAGTGCCCCTGGCCCAAGGTGCCCCCAGCTTTTCGCTCCACTTTGGAGCCCCTGGGGCCCCCTGGGCCTCGCGAGGGGTGCCCTGGAGGCCGTCTGGGCCGCCCCGAGAGTCCTAGGGGTACCTTGGGCCAGGGGTACTTCTAGCAACACCCGACATCCTGCCTTCGCGCCCCTCTGCTGCCTCCCATCCTCGTCGTCGCGAGGCGTCGCCCTCAAAATAAGAAGAGGCACGCGCCCCGACCAGGACTTCTCGAAGAGGATCCCAGAGGGCACGTCAGCTCCAAAAAGCGTCCCCGACGACCCCAAGAGCGCACCCCTCCACCATCACCGCCACCACGACCATCATGAGGCCACAGAGCCGCGAAGATCACCGAATCCGGAGCCCCCTGGATCGGCGGCACTGGCCGGAGGCCATTACAATATCCGCCCCCAGACCTCTCCTGGAAGAAGAGGCCCCAGCCGTGTCGACGAGGGCGCCCCGAGGAGCCCCGGAGAGGGCGGCGAACGCCAGGCCTCCTCTCGTCGGGCTTCGTCCTTCTCCTCCTCCACCTCCTCCTCCTCCTCCTCCTCCTTCTCCTCCTCCTCCACCTCCTCCTCCTCCTCCTTCTCCTCCTCCTGCTCCTCCTCCTCCTCCTGCTCCTCCTCCTCCTCCTCCTCCTGACGCTTACGCTGCTGGCACTGATCCGATCAGGCATGCTGCCATCTCCCCCTGCCCCCCGGGGGAAGGTGTCGGGATATGTTTGGACACCGTGCCAGACCAAACACCTCTAGGATTGCCATCCAAGAGGCCTCTTATCCGGTCAGGGATGCCTGCTCGAGATCGTTTCCCCACCATGCATCCCAACCTGCTTCGCTCTCCCCTCTTGCCGAACTGACCGCCAGCCATCCTCCTCGCCCTCGTCCACCTCGTCATCATCGCTGTCGTCGGCCCACCCGTCGTCGCCGTCGCCGGCGTGCGACGCGCTCGTCCTGCAGCTTCGGCCGGTTCCTCGGCCGGTCGAAGCTCGAGGAGCCGCCAGACGCCTGGGGCAGCGGGAGGAGGAACGATAGGGGAGGATTTTACCAGCCTGGAACATATCCCTATCCCTATGCTGGGCATCTCCTCATCACGATGCCAATCTTAGGGATTCCCTTATTTTTTGAGGGCGAATCCCTAAGATTGTCATCGCCTTTTGGCGTGTCCATCTTAGGGATAGGGATACGTTCGAGGCTGGTAAGAATTGGGCTCGGGGGCGGGAGGAGTTCGGGAGCCAGAGTCGGCGACACACCGCCGACTGATAGATCGGCGACCGGCGCCCGACAGCGAGTCCGCACGCGTTCCTGGGCGGGGTGGGGCTAGTGGGCCCCTCTCGGCAATCAGTGGGCGATCGGGGGTCGATGCATCCCCCCCGGAGGAGTGAAAGGAGGAGAAGGAGGGCCAGTGAAAGCTCAAGGCTCATCCACGATGTTGGAATCAATCCTCACTCCAAGCTCCCTCTTCACAGGCCCCTACAAGGATTCATTTTCACTGAAGGAAGCACGCCGTTGGACGACAATCGTTTGAAGATCCTGAAGCGTGCCACAACATCATTCTCGAAATTTCAACGCCACGAATCAACCTGACTGTTGCGCCTTGACATTCCAAATTGGTGCCAGAGCACCATTCCTGAGACTTCAACACCGCGAATCAACGTAAGTGTTGCGCCCAGACAACCCTGAATCGCTCCTAAATACCACTTCTGGTACGCGAACCATGGGATTCCGCGCAAATCCTGCGATTGCTTAAAATCAACGCACGCGGCGCTACAGCGAGAGTCACATTTTGAAATGGAACCGCACTCAATCCGTGAAACTCTTGCACTAAGGCGAGAGCCACATTTTGAAAACCGCCAGCCCTCAATGCGTGAAATTCCTGAAATGCTCTAAACCGAATGCGCTCGGTGCTAAAGGCCAGTCACATTGTGAAAAACCACCCGCCCTCAATCTGTGAAATTGTTGCAATGTTTTATGCAAGCGTGCGCGGCGCTACGGCGAGAACCACATCTTGAAAACGATCCGCCCTCAATCCGTGAAACTCTTACACATGTCTAAAACGAATGTGCGTGGCACTAAAGCGAGAGCCGCATTTTGAAAACCGCCAGCCCTCCATCCGTGAAACTGGTGCCAACTTGTAAGCTTCAAGATCACAACTGATGAGGAAGTCTCTGGAGAAACGCCCAGCCGCCCTTTCGACCAGACCCAGGGTGAAACAGGAAGGAGTTATCGATTAGGAACTCAAATGGAGGAGGAGGAGGAGGAGGAGGAGGAGGAGGAGGAGGAGGAGGAGAGGGAGGAGGAGGAGGAGGAAGAGGAGGAGGAGGAGAAGGAGGAGGAGGAGGCGCAGGAGGGAGGTGAGGGGGAGGAAGAGGAGGAAGAGGAGGGGGAGGAGGAGGTGGAGGAAGAGGAAGAGGAAGAGTAGGAGGAAGAGGAGGAGGAGGAAGAGGAGGATCCGGAGGAGGACCCCGACGAACGCTAAAGCCGTGCAGCTGCAGTTTGTCCAACGCGAAAGGGGGGACCCCGAGGAGGCGCCCATCAACCCCCTTACGTTGCCCCTGAGGCAGGGGGGGGGCGCTCCAGACGCCCTCGGCGCGTGGTGGAAACACCGCCCTCCCGACGTCTGCGAGATCATCTCCTTCGCGGTCGTCTTCGCCAGCGCCGTCGGCAACGTCGTCGTGGTCGTCGTCGTCGGCGGAGGCGTCGGCGTCGGCCTAAAGGGAAAGTTAGGAGTTTCTTAAGAAAAAATTGCGGGGGGTGGCTGGGAGGTCTGGGGGGCTGCGGGCTTGCATACGTTCAGGCGGATCTGGGTTGAGGATTGGGTGGGTGAAGGAGGGGGAGGAGGGGAGTGATCAAACGCAGGATGAGGGAGGAGGTGGGTGGCGGCATCGACAAGGACGGTAAAAACAATAGGCGATGGGGAGATCAAGGACGAGGAGAAGTAGACGGGGGACGATGACAGCGGTGGAGAAGGCAATATAAAATAGCGGCCAACGACTGCGGAGAGGGCAGAGAAGATACGGTGGGCAGCGAGGGCAGAGGAGAGGACCGTCGATGACCGTACGAAGACCTCGGCAACCGGCGCCGCAAAGAAAGAGCACGACACCGTGAACGCGACTGCTCACGACTGAAGCTCCCGAGCCCCTCCTGACGCGTACTGCTTCAGGCCAGACCGACCCTCGAGGGCCTCTGGGGAGAGGAGCGGGGCAGAAGAGCGCCCGCCCAGGGCCGCCAACGACGCTCGGACGCAGCGAGTCCCCGCGGAGACCGCCAGAGGCCCCCGGGGCAAGAACGGCAAGAACGGCACACACTGAAAACGTCCCGAAGCACGCCATGAGTCCCATCTTCTCTCGAGGGCGCAGGGCAGAGACTGGGGAAACCAAGAGGTATCGATGCCGCTCCTCCCCGGACCTCGCCCAGGGTGCGCTCTGACTAGAATCTCGAAGCGAGTCCAGCGGTGGCGACGAGGGCGGCCTCCCGGGAGGACCAGCAAAGTGGAAAACAAGGGAAGGGTAGCATTATGAGTACCCTTTCCTCCTCTGCAAGACTTTCCCTTGCCGCATGGAGTCTATCGAGCGACGAGGAGACCGTGCGGGCAGAGCGCGAGGAGACGACCGAGCGGAGGGGCCGACGAGGGGCGACCCGGCGACCCTCCACGGCGCGGGACAAGGGGGGGGAGGGCAGGCGCCGGGCGATGCCAGAGGGGGGCCACCACCGAGGGATCCGCCACCCTCCTCGAGGGAAGACGGACCCCCCCCCTAAAGAGACCGCCAGCAACGCCTCTCCCCTCCGCCCCTCCCCCCCCTCCCCTTCCCCCTCTATCCCCCCTTCCCCTCGGAAACCGGAGGGAGGAGGAGGAGGAGGAAGAGGAGGAGAAGGAGGACGAGGAGGAGGAGGAGAAAAAGGAGAAGAAGGAGGCGGAGGAGGCGGAGGAGGAAGAGGAGGAGGAGGAGAAGGAGGGGGCATGCCTCTTGGCAGCCTCTTGGAGGAGCGGTCCTTGAGAGCCTCTTAGCTTGGGGACCTCCTGGGCCCAAGGCGCCCAGAATACCTCCTCGATCCTCGACCCCGCCTCCTCGATCCTCGATCCTCGATCCCCAGGAAGACGTACAGTAGGGGCCCGACCACAAGAAACCTTCCACAAGAAACCCAACCCTGAGACCCCAGGACGTCCGTCGATCTTTGGCGTGGGAACGTCACACTTTACACGGCAGAACCATCGAATCCCAGGAAACCCAGGGCACCCTGGAGGCAAGCAGGGTGCTTCTTGGCATGGGTCTCCACTGTAGTGACACCCCTAGTGGTGACCTCTCTTGGCGCTGCCCGAGGTCGGCGGCACGCCGGCGGAGGGGGGGAGTCAGAGGGGGGCAGGCCTTCTGGGAAGGCGGCGGGGCTTCTCAGAAGCCCTCGCGCCTTCCGAGAAGCCTCCTGTGGCTCCGGAGAAGCCTCCCAAAGCTTCTCAGCAGGCCGGAGGCCTTCTGAGCCTTCCGAGAGAACAGGCCCGCCCCCTCTGCCTTCTCCCCCGGGCGCGCCGCCGCCTGGGCACCGCCCGGAGGCGGAGGAGGAAGCGGCGGGAGGCGGGGCGCACCGACGCGCTCGGCAGCTCCACCTGAGACGTCCCGAACACGGCGGCCGTGGGCGGCTCGTACGGCATCGCCCCTGCCCGCACGGGTGGTGGCATCCGAACTTCTGTGGCCTCCCCAGGGAACCTCGCACGGAGCATCGCGACCTCCGAAAACTACCATTCAGCGGCACTCAGTGGCCACGAGCGGCCTGTATCGGCCACTAGCTCTCGCTAGCGCGCGATGACTAGCGGCCACTAGCGGACCCTACCCCCACCAGCCATCGATTCTCTGGAATCGACGGGAAGCGGGGGTAAGGCTCGGAATTCGCCGCACGCTCCACGAGTTCCAAACCCTAACCCCGCCGCTCATCGAGTTGCATGAACCGTGAATGGGCGAGGGCATCGGCGACTCCGAAGGGTGCGGTTTGCAACGGGTGTGGTTTGCCACCAGCACCCTGGGGGGGGCACCCTGTGGGGCGGGCGAGGACCTCGCCAGACCTCTCCGCCGCGCCCCGAGGAGACCCGACAAAGACAGGGTCGTGACCCCAGGCCCCAACGGCGCCGATCGCAAGCCACACTCTGGCGTAACCGATTGATGGGCGAGGGTAAGGCGCCGATCGATGGGCGAGGGTAGAGCCGATGGATGGGCGATGGATTGCCGCCGATTGATGGGCGATTCGTGGGCGAGGTTAGGGCCGATTGATAGGGTGAAGCGCGTTGTAGTCTGCCGAAAATAATCCAGAGAGCACGAAAATTCGCCACCTGACAACTTTCGTGTCGTTCTTGAATATTCCTCCTGCTGAAAGACATGCCCGCCTTAATTGTAGTCGTCGAGTGCTGGGCGAGGGCAGGAGGATGAGGAGGAGGAGGAGGAGGAGGAGGAGGAGGAGGAGGAGGAGGAGGAGGAGGGAGGACGAGGAGGAGGAGAGAGAGAGGAAAAGGAGAAGGAGCAGAGGAGGGGGACGAGGAGGAGGGGAGGAGCAGGGGAGGAGGAGGAGGAGGAGCAAGGGGGGGAGGAGGAGGGGGGGAGGAGGAGGGGGGAGGGAGGAGGAGGAGAGGAGGAGGAGGAGGAGGATGAGGAGGAGGAGGAGGAGGAATCATGGGCGAGGTTAGGGCCGATTGATAGGGTGAAAGCGCTTTGTAGGCGCCGAGTACTGGGCGATGGCAGCAGGAGGAGGAGGAGGGAGGAGGAGGAGGAGGAAAGGAGGAGAAGAGGAGGAGGCAGGAGGAGGAGGAGGGAGGAGGAGGAGGAGAGGAGGAGGAGGAGGAGGAGGAGGAGGATCAGGAATGGGCGAGGTTTAGGGCCGATTGATAGGGTGAAGCGCTTTGTAGGCGCCGAGTACTGGGCGATGGCAGCAGGAGGAGAGGAGGAGGAGAAGAGAGAGAGGAGGGAGGAAGAGGAGGAGGGAGGAGGGAGGAGGAGGAGGAGGAGGGGCGAGGTTAGGGCCATTGATAGGGTGAAGCGCTTTGTAGGCGCCGAGTACTGGCGATGGCAGCAGGAGTGAGCAGGAGGAGGAGGAGGAGGAGGAGGAGGAGGAGGAGAAGGAGGAGGAGGGAGAGGAGGGAGGAGGAGGAGGAGGAGGAGGAGGAGGAGGAGAGGAGAAGGAGGAGGAGGACTCATGGCGAGGTTAGGGCCGGATTGATAGGGTGAAGCGATTTGTAGGCGCCGAGTACTGGGCGATGGCAGCAGAGAGGAGGGGGAGAGGAGGAGAAGAGGGGAGGAGGGAGGAGGGAGGGAGGAGGAGGAGGGAGGAGGGAGGAGGGGGAGGAGGGAGAGGGAGGAGGGAGGAGGAGGAGGAGGAGGAGGAGGGAGGAGAGGAGGAGAGGAGGAGGAGGAGGAGGACTCATGGGCGAGGCTGGGGCCGATCGATAGGGTGAGGAGCGCTTTTGTAGCCGCCGCTTGCCGGGCGAAGGCGGGGCTCGGAAGTCGCCGCCTCGGGGATGGACGGACCCGGGTCGGTCCGGACCCGGGCCGGCCGGGCCCTGCAGGATCCTGCACCCAAACTCGGGTCAATTCGGCTACACGCAGGAGTGACCCTGGGTACAGTCGGGGCATTGACCTAAGGAACCCAAAATAAGGAACGAGGCCCCTATTTCCTATAGGTTAAACTTCGATTTCGTATCGAAAACCTAGGGGAAATCTAAGGCAAGCTGCGAAACAATTAAGGAACATGGAGCCCCTCCCCAACGAAAAGGGTTCCTTCTTCAGGGCCACGACTGTAAGAGTGACCTTTGGTGCGCGACTTTTTGGGACTGCGGGGGGGCCAAACCTGGGCGCGCAAGCAGCTGTTACTGCTTCGTTTTTAGCCATCTGGGGACCCATCTGTGCCCGCACCAAAGGTCACTCCGGCGAAAGGTCACTCTTACGTCTAGTCGATCAACGCAGCCCTGGCTCTGCAGGATCCTGCAAGATCCGGCGATCTGACTGACCCCCCGTTTGCATTCGGGGAGCGGAAGATGGCATAGACATAAAAACTCGGAGGTCCGCGCGGAGTTCTCGGATCCGCGCTGGACCGCCCAAGCGGCGCCTCTGCCAAAAATACTCAGAAATTGTAAAAAATAGTCGAAAGATTGTCCCCAGTCGTTGTTTGACAATTTTTGAATATTCCTCCTATAGAGGGACAGGCCCGACTTCAGCCCTGGCCCGAAGAGTGGCCCCTGCCTTCCCCAGGGGCCAGGACGGGAGCCAAACACGGCACGAGCCTACAGACTTTTGGAGCTCCGCGCGGGTCTCTTGGACCCGCGCTGGCGCCCCCTGCGCGCGGAGCGCGCCAGGGGCGGCTCCAGAGAGGCGCGGCCGGGGGGCCCGGCACCGATCCAAGAAATCCGCTCGGAGCTCCGAATGCTCGTGTTTGTGCCGTGTTCCGTCTTCGAAGAGGGGCGCAGGTGGCTTGCACAGCACCCCTCGCAAGGCCCAGAGGGCCTCGGAGGCCCGCCCTACACAGAGTGGCGCGAAGGACTGGGAGCGCCGCCAAGGCCACTTCTAGCAGCACCAGGCCGTGCATCTCGCCCACCTCGCTTGTCCTCTGCCCTTTCTCTATTCCGTCCACCCTGCATCGACCATGGGAGCCCAGCAGCCGTCACGACAGGGTCCAGATTTTGGCGCTGTGACTGAAAGAACTGCTGCTTTGCCGGCGATCAAACTCGGGTGTTTTTCACTGGCTTGGGCCGGCGCTCAAGCTCTAGCCAAGGGCGCACACCTGTGTGGGCGAGCGAAGAATGAACATCTGAGATATAACCAAAAAACAAAAGCACGCAACTGGGGACAAAGTGCAGAAATTTCGCACTGTTGCTCACTCATTACTTCCTGCGTTTCTCTGCCACTCTTCCACGTGAGGGCGGCGGGGGAAGCGAGGAGGACGGAAGGTCGAGGAGGAGGGAGGAGTGGGATGGAGGATGGAGGACGAGGAGGATGCGTAGACGAGGAGGGGGAGGAGGGAGGAGGGGAGGAGGAGGGGGAGGAGGGAGGAGGGAGGATGCGTAGACGAGGAGGGGGAGGAGGGAGGAGGAGGGGACGAACGCCGCATCCCCATGCAGGGAAACAGAGGTGCGAAGAGCGCTGACCGCAGGAGGAGAACGGAGAAGCAGGATTGAGAGAAGTCAGGAATGGCCTCCTCCTCCTTCTCCTCCTCTTTCTCCCTTCTTCATCCCCTGCCCTCCTCCTCCCTACTCATCCCTCCTCTTCCTCCTCATCCCGGCTCAAGCCGTTCCGGCTCGAAAAGGCCGCAGCGGCCACTGTTTTTGGGGCAACCGCCTCACCTGGTCCGCCTCAAGGCGCGAGGCAGCCGCACGGCATGAAGCTGGAGGCACAGTGAACCGCCCACTGTGCTCGGCGAGCGAAACGGGGGAGTGAGAAGGGGCGGACCTTCTGAGAAGGCTCGGAAGCACCCCAGCCTTCTGAAGAGTTTCTAAGCCTTCCCCGAAGCAAAAAAACTCCTCTGAAGGCGCGAGGGTTTCTGAGAAGTCCCGCCGCCTTCTGGGAATGCCTTTCCCCTCTGACTCCCCCTCCCCCCCCGGCGTGCCGCCGACCTCAGGCAGAGCCAAGAGAGGTCACCACTAGGGGTTTCACTACCTCTTCCTGGAGATCGGGGATCGAGGACCGATGATGCTGTCGAGATCGAGGAGCGAGGATCGAGGATTTAGGATCGAGGATCGAAGTCCCGCCGCCTTCTGAGAAGGCCTTTTCCTTCTCAGGTCCCCCCCCCTCGCTCGCCGCCGACGAGACAGCAGCACAGCATGAAATTGGAGGCGCAGTGTGCCGCCCACTGGTCCGGCCCTCACCCCATCGCACAGCTCGCGCAGGCGAGGACAGGAGGAGTCGGAGGAGGGAAGCGACTGAAACCGGGAGGTTATCCAAGACTTAATTCCGGAGTTAAGTCGGCCCGACTCCGGGGTAAAGGCCACCCCGCGGAAAACTTAACTCCGGAGTTAAGTCGCCGCCAAACTGGCGGACGCACCAGCAATTACACGAATTAGCTCCGGGGTTAAGTGATTCCCACGCCGCGAGCCCCAGCCCGGCACACACTTAACTGCGGAGTTAAATCGCCGCGGCATTGGGTTGGGTGCCGCGACGATTGAGAGGACAGGAAGTGGAAGAGGAGGAGGAAGAGGAGGGCGACGACGAGGAATATGAGGAGGAGGAGTGAGGAGGACGAGGAGGAGGAGGAGGAAGAGGAGGAGGAGGAGGACGACGACGAGGAGGAGGACAAGCTAGGTGCCTTCGCGTCATGTCTGACATCCTACCCCTCCCTCCCATCCCTTACCATGGCGTAGATCTCCCCTCTACTCGCACAGTCGGATGTCGAGCAGGGCAATGATCCCGAAAGGGTACGCGATGAATTGTAGAGCACGACATGGCATGGCGCAGAAGAGCACCGCAAAGCGTAGTATGTCACAGCATGGCGTGGCGTGGCGCGGTGACGAATTGCATCGCAAGGCTTTGCAACGCCAAGCATGGCATCGCACAGCGGCCCCGAACATAACCTTGCATAGCGTGGCGTTGAAGATCTCTAAGCGTAGCATGGCATCACGCGTCGCGGCACTTAAGCGCTGCATAACACAACTCCAGCTGAAGGCATGGCATCGCCCAGCGGAA